TAAGTCAATGAGATCACTTTTAGATCTGTCAACTGCATGACTTTAACCATTGGTCTCTTTGGGGCACTTTTGAAAAGGGGAAATCTCTTACAATGTCTGATTTTCTCTAGAAAAGCAATTTTCTCAAATAATTTTTTTTAAACATAACGGTTTTGTCAAATGAATTTTGTTTAAATTAACATCAAATAGTTATAAAAAGTCCACTACATATTATATATATATATATATATATATATATATGTATGTATGTATGTATGTATTTATCTATATATGTATATATATTAAAAAATTGAAATTTAATTTAGCCAATATAATCTCATTGTAACTGTCCACTGTGCATGTTCTCTCATTGTAACTGTCCACTGTGCATGTTCTCTCATTGTAACTGTCCACTGTGCATGTTCTCTCATTGTAACTGTCCACTGTGCATGTTCTCTCATTGTAACTGTCCACTGTGCATGTCCTCTCATTGTAACTGTACGATGCGCATGTTCTCTCATCATAACTGTCCGCTGCGCATGCTTGCTCATTGTAACTGTCCACTGTGCATGTTCTCTCATTGTAACTGTCCACTGTGCATGTCCTCTCATTGTAACTGTACGCTGCGCATGTTCTCTCATCGTAACTGTCCGCTGCACATGCTTTCTCATTGTAACCGTCCACTGTGCATATTCTTTCAATGTAACTGACCACTGTCCATGTCCTTCATTGGAACTGACCACTGTCCATGTCCTTCAACTGAACTGACCACTGTCCATGTCCTCTGTTTCCTCACATCTGTCTCCTCCTCATTCACAGGCTATCATCAAGCCCCACACAGTCAGAGTTCTCCCTGCTAAGTATGCGCAGCCCCCTCCTGCCTGGGGAGCCTGTCACACAACTGGCATCAAGGATCCATTGGGAACAGCTGCAGAGGAACTACTATCATCCGTTGTCTAGTCGCAGATACAGCCCTGCCAGCCTGCCTGGTAAATATTGGGAAGGTCAAGGGAAGGGCTCGGGTTATTGCAGGACTGACATCGGATTATTGCAGGACTGACATCGGGTTATTGCAGGACTGACATCGGATTATTGCAGGACTGACAGATTATTGCAGGACTGACATTGGATTATTGCAGGACTGACATTGGATTATTGCAGGACTCACATCAGATTATTGCAGGACTGACATCGGGTTATTGCATGACTGACATTGAGCTATTGTCGGACTGATATCGCTGCTGGATAAAATAATCTGTTTCATTTGTTTGTACATGACTCCTGTGTTACTGTACATGTAAAGGACTCCTGTTCCTGTACCATATACAGAACTCCTATATTACTATAACATGTATTCATTTCAGTTAGCATCTAAACCATGAAAAATACAACCAAATAATTTCTCTGTTTATAATATATTTTCAAATTCAGAATAAAGAAGAAGATTAGACGTAACAAAAGATTGAAAACTTATTGAATTAATTTACAATAATTTTTATGTCCACATACATGTATCCGTATAGGAATCTACCCCAATACGCTTCATCACATACACTTAAGATCAGCTCAGTCAGGGCACATTCATTCCCACAAGATAAGGACAGATAGATATAAAAATTAATTTGTTCTCCAATCTATTAGAATTTAACAGTGGACTTCCCTGACTGTAACAAAATCTAAGTAATCACACTTAAAAAGGCAATTTCGTTACAGTCAGGGAGTGATATTTTATGGTATATGATGGCTGATTTTTTTATCTCGGGAAATAGATTTGATGTCTTGTGTGTTCCAACAATATTGTTCTAGTTTTAAAATGTTGTCTTGATGAGGATATTTATCCATTAGTCTAAATGAATCCATATAATGTAATCAAAAAACAATTTTCAATTATTTGGATTAGTAAAATAATTTTTTCTTAATGTAACTCTATGCAAATTTATTATTTACTCCTACTTCATGAAGTAACTAATTACTTTTGGGATAAGAACATTATATAAGTCAGTGGTGACTTTCTCTCAAGTTAATTCATCCCTCATCCATAATGGCTATTATTGTAATTTCAGGTCTCCCATTGGGTGCTAGTCCATTGATTGGGGAGTACCCACCCCCATCAATCAGTGGGAGGAGCTTATTTTCAGATGTACCGCCCACACCAGGATCAGGGAGTATTACCTTACCAGGATCTTTAGAAAGTAAGTTATACTGAAAATATTCAGGTTGACAAGAATATGTGAAACTAAAATGTTTTGTTAAAAATGCAAAACGCAGATTCTGACAACTCCATCTGTTCCATCAGTGCAGAGTTCCAATTAGATCAGGTCTTGTGAAAACAAAACAAAAACTAATTATAGAACACTGCTGTAAAAATTGAACAAAATTGTCCTTTACTATCTATCCTAAAATAGTGATAAAACATTCCTTAGAGCAGTGGCTCTCAACCTTCCTAATGCCGCGACCCTTTAACACAGTTCCTCATGTTGTGGCGACCCCCAGCCACAAAATTATTTTCGTTGCTACTTCATAACTGTAGAGCATATGTGTTTTCAGATGGTCTAAGCGACCCCTGGGAAAGGAACGTGCGACCCAAAAGGGGTCATGACTCACAGGTTGAGAACCGCTGCCTTAGAGGCTTAGTTGAAATTTTAGGGTTTTTTTTGTTTTTTTCCAACTCAGAAAAAAGAGTTGACAAATGGTTAGAAAAAAGAGTTGTCAAATGGTTAGAAAAAAGAGTTGTCAAATGGTTAGAAAAAAGAGTTGTCAAATGGTTAGAAAAAAGAGTTGTCAAATGGTTAGAAAAAAGAGTTGTCAAATGGTTAGAAAAAAGAGTTGTCAAATGGTTAGAAAAAAGAGTTGTCAAATGGTTAGAAAAAAGAGTTGACAAATGGTTAGAAAAAAGAGTTGACAAATGGTTAGAAAAAAGAGTTGACAAATGGTTAGAAAAAAGAGTTGTCAAATGGTTAGAAAAAAGAGTTGACAAATGGTTAGAAAAAAGAGTTGACAAATGGTTAGAAAAAAGAGTTGACAAATGGTTAGAAAAAAGAGTTGACAAATGGTTAGAAAAAAGAGTTGTCAAATGGTTAGAAAAAAGAGTTGACAAATGGTTAGAAAAAAGAGTTGACAAATGGTTAGAAAAAAGAGTTGACAAATGGTTTCAAGTTGAACCATGTTATAATGTGTTACCATTTCACAGGTTCTCGATTAACAAGTCCACGACCCAGTATTGTTGGAGGTAAAAGCCGCAAGAGGGCATTGTCTCATTCTCCAATTTCTGACTACCTCGATATCCAGAGTCTGACCCGCAGCTCCGAGGGGTCACTGCAGCTTGCACCATTTCTACAGCACAACTCTCGGAGCTCAAGTGCTGCAAGTGGCTCTTATGGACATCTCTCTGCAGGTTGGTTGGGAATTAAGACCTTTGATCAGTTTTTGTGAAACAATTTTCTCTTCACTGTCATCTAGAAGTACTTTTAATTTAATACTTTACTGTTTTTAATAAGTTTGTTTCATAATTATAAATGTCAACATGTTTTTGTTGATCAGCAACTAATTAATGACTCGGCATTCATATGGATTGTTATGAATTTGATTTGAAATAATTTTAGAAAACATTTTGGGCAATTGATCTTTTGTTTTCAAAATATTAAATTATGGCTTACCATTCAGTGATCATATCATGACTGAAGCTTATTAATCTTATTACATGATCTTATAAACAGAATGTTTAAAAATGATGGATCCCAAATTTTTCAATATTACCGTAATTAAAACAAAATTGCTGCAAATATTTACACTGTGCTGAACCCTTAAAGAAAAACCGATGAGTTTTCAAAGAGCTTAAAGAGAATCATTATTTTTATATTTCAGCATCCGTTGGTACTGTGAGCCCTGCTCATCCAATCCTGCCATCCAATCCATACCTGAGGCCAGGGGGCATGGCGCCCTCCAGTTTTTTCTACCCTCCCATGCATTCCCTGATGGGAAGGCAGTCCCAGCCAATGGGCCCCATGATGCCCCCTGGTTCTCAGCTGTCTCACACAGTCCCCAAGTTTGAATCTCAGGTAGGTCACTGATTTAGTCAATTTTTAATGATAAAAAAAGGGATTTTTTTTTTTTTGCCAGAGGATTTTTGATATGACTTGCTTGTTACAGACTTAGGGAATGCACATTAGGGGATATTTAGAAAGCCATGACTCAATTTAATGAACACCACCTTGATTTGAACCAAAAAATGATCCCATTTATGTTATTATTATTACACCTTCACTCCATTTCTAGCCCCCAACACCAACATGAACATCATTTTATTCACAGGCTCAGATCTCCACAACAACCAAAGAGCCTGGCTCTAGCAGCATTGTCAGCAGTACCATGGACAATGCTGGGGATCTTAGGAAGGTCAAGGTCAAAAAGGAAACAGAAAATATCCATATAGGTTAGTTTTTTTTTGTTTTTTTCATTGGTGGCATTCACTATTTTAATGTTAGACATTATTATTTTTGTTTGTTTTTTAATGGAATTATTTAGAACATAAAGCCACCCCCACCCTCCCCAATCACCATACGCTTTCTAACACAGCAGTTAGTGTTGACATCCCTTCTATTTCAACAACGTATACATTTTTAAACACTCAAAAAGTGTATGTTGATATTGAATGTGGTCCCCCAGGGATCTGCTACAACAGAAAGCAGTCAAATCACAAAACTCCGAGTTCAGAAGCTTCCGGGCTAGATCTCCAAACTGTTTGTTCTCATAAAAATTTCTGGAGGAACTCTTTTGGCTGAAATGTCTCAATAATTACCTCATTCTAACGAAAAATTTCATTGTCAACAAAGCCAAGTAGACTAATAATTCTTGTTGGTGTCATTTGAACGCTACAAGTTTTCAATGTTATTTTCTGGTGAATTGATCGAATTGCTTCTGATTCCCATTTGAAAGCTTCCATGGACCCCGATGACGATGATGACAACTTTGGTGAAAGGGGAGGACACATCCCACAGGAAGGAGAGCCAGATTTTATTGAAACCAATTGCCACTGGATCGATTGTAACCGAGAGTTTGAAACACAAGATGAGCTGGTCAAAGTAAGTCTCCCACACCATGGTGCATGATGGGAGTTGGTTAGCTGTCAGACATGTGTTAGCTTAGAACTTCTCCTGTTATATGAAAATTAATTTTATTAGCATCATCAATGTGTCAAGACAAAACACAAACATTCTATAAAATACTTAATAAAATAATGACATAATAAAAAGAAATGCTTGACTATAATTCAATGGCAATGTTTATAAGTTCTTAAAAAATCCATTACATGAATGCTGGTGTTTACGAGCCATAATGAAAAATGTTTTTTTTCTACAAATCAGAAAAATATGTTTCTATTTTAAAAACTAATGTTATAAATGAAAAACTCCATCACAGACCAATGAATGAATGTATCCCTGTAATGGGTGCATCATCATGTTTCCCTGTAATGGGTGCATTGTCATGTTTCCCTGTAATGGGTGCATCATCATGTATCCCTGTAATGGGTGCATCATCATGTATCCCTGTAATGGGGGCATCGTCATGTTTCCCTGTAATGGGTGCATCGTCATGTATCCCTGTAATGGGTGCATCGTCATGTATCCCTGTAATGGGTCCATCGTCATGTATCCCTGTAATGGGTGCATCGTCATGTATCCCTGTAATGGGTGCATTTCCATGTATCCCTGTAATGGGTGCATCGTCATGTATCCCTGTAATGGGTGCATCGTCATGTATCCCTGTAATGGGTGCATCATCATGTATCCCTGTAATGAGGGCATCGTCATGTTTCCCTGTAATGGGTGCATCGTCATGTATCCCTGTAATGGGTGCATCGTCATATATCCCTGTAATGGGTGCATCGTCATGTATCCCTGTAATGGGTGCATCGCCATGTATCCCTGTAATGGGTGCATCGTCTGCCTTATAACCAAGAGTTTGGGCACTCAAACAATTAATGGGTACACATCTGGTGTGAATGGACTTGTCAGCCCATGGGGAGGAAGTTAGCCTCCATCTCTGAAGCCAGAAGACACTCTCAAACTTTGGTTGGGATTAAACAAACATTGGAAGCCTACCATTAGCCTGACGCAACTTCCAAATAAAGATAAGTGTTGAACAAAAACACTGAGGAAAAAAAGGCAATGAATGATCTACAAAGAGGCAAATTTCAAATGTCATCTGGGGCACATGAAACCCTTTGATCCACACAAGGCCTTAAGGTGGTCCATTCAGAGTTGTGACTTTGACTGCTGGGTCAAGCATCATTGATGTGACTTTGACTGCTGGGTCAAGTATCATTGATGTGACTTTGACTGCTGGGTCAAGTATCATTGATGTGACTTTGACTGCTGGGTCAAGTATCATTGATGTGACTTTGACTGCTGGGCCAAGTATCATTGATGTGACTTTGACTGCTGTGTCAAGTATCATTGATGTGACTGTGACTGCTGGGTCAAGTATCATTGATGTGACTTTGACTGCTGGGTCAAGTATCATTGATGTGACTTTGACTGCTGGGTCAAGTATCATTGATGTGACTTTGACTGCTGGGTCAAGCATCATTGATGTGACTGTGACTGCTGGGTCAAGCATCATTGATGTGACTGTGACTGCTGGGTCAAGCATCATTGATGTGACTGTGACTGCTGGGTCAAGTATCATTCATGCAGCTATGATGCATCACTACTCTTGTGTTGATATTCTAGGCATCCGGTTGGCACAGAATGGGTTCAATCATTCAACGTTGTTGTCCCTCTTTTGCAGCATTTAAATCAAGATCACATTCAGTCCAACAAAAAATCCTTTGTGTGCAGATGGCAGGATTGTAGCAGAGAAGAGAAACCTTTCAAGGCCCAGTATATGTTGGTTGTCCACATGAGGAGACACACGGGAGAGAAGCCACACAGGTGCACAGTAAGTTGTTTTACATTTACAACCATATGCTGAGCCCTGTCTTTTGTTCAAAAAGATTATTATTTCAATTTGTTGGAGATTGTTTGATGGAAAAGTTGGTAATGCAGCCTTGTCAAGTTTCGATGACGTTTACGACAATTTGTTTTCTTGTTTGAATTGATTTCTTTTTAAATTCTCATTTGTTTTAAATACCGGTAGGACAAAATCCACCGACCATTAAATACAATGTTTTTCCTGGCAGTTTGAAGGCTGTACCAAAGCTTACAGTCGGCTGGAGAACTTGAAGACTCATCTTCGCTCCCACACCGGGGAGAAACCGTACATGTGTGAGTTTCCTGGATGTACCAAAGCTTTCAGTAACGCATCCGACAGGGCCAAGCACCAGAACAGAACACATTCAAATGCAGTGAGTACTGATGGAGAGACCGTCGTTTGTTTAAAGTTATTCTACAAACGCTGATTTTTCATTAAGTTTTTTAAAACTTTCAATATTTAAACTTTCAATTAATAATTCTTGGGGAAAAGAATGTGTAAATGATCATGTCTGATCTTTCATTGGTGTAGGCTACATTATTTCGCTCCTCCACGTGCTAAAGATCAATTAGATGTGTTATTTTGGCTTTAGATGTTCATTTAAATGTAAACTGTTTTGATAGTGCTTTTTTAAATGGATGAAATACACATTAGACAGCAGTTGTGTGAATAGTTTTTTCATAAAGCTGTTTCTAATGAAATAAATGTTTGTAACTTTTATTAATGTCATGATTATGTTTGCTAATATTTTTATGGGAAGTGAGGTGAGCCCAGCCCTATATAATCTCACTGTAACAAAATAAGTTAGATAAGATTAGATAACATAATATGCTTTTATTGATCCAAATGAAGGGAGATGTGTCATGATTGTATTGCACATATTGTGTTCAGTCTTGATGAAGGGAGATTTGTCATGATTGTAGTGCACATATTGTATTCAGTTTTGAAAGTCTTTGAGTTGTTGTTCTCCAAAGCATTTAGTTCATCATTTTGTGGTCAGATTAGCTGTTAGGGTCTTGAAGGCAAGTTGAACAGAGTCTGGGCATCTTGTTCAAATAGACTTCCCAGCTTTAATAGATAAACATTTCTGTAGCCGAATTGTCTTTGTTTTTTTTTTCTTTAATCCTAAGATGGCAGATTTGAATTTGCTTGAAGCCGATGACTTCCAGAAAATCTCCATTTAACAAAAGCTAGTACGATGATAAAAACAAGACTATCAGAACAAAGCTAATTTGACACATTTACCACTTCTTGATTACAAAGAAAATACCAAAAAAAACTTCAAAACTTTCAAAAACTGAAAAACAAACACAGATGCATCTAGTTGCCTGCAGGACAGCGCACGAGAAGTTTTTTTTTTTTTTTTTAATATACTCCAATGAACAAAAATTTGTTTTACTCTCCGATGCGTGAAACCCCTCAAAGTCAATTATTGCAAGGCTCAAATCGTTAAAGAAAATACCAAAAAAAACTTCAAAACTTTCAAAAACTGAAAAACAAACACAAATGCATTTAGTTGCCTGCAGGACAGCGCACGAGAAGTTTTTTTTTTTTTTTTTAATATACTCCAATGATCAAACATTTGTGTCACTCTCCGATGCGTGAAACCCCTCAAAGTCAATTATTGCATGGCTCAAATCGTACTTAGTCTGGTGAGTTTATCAAATTAGTGAATTGGTAGCAGTCTGCAAGACACATGAAAAATATGCTGATTTGAAATTCTCGGCTTCGAATACAAGAAAACCTAATCTTCACATCATTCAGGGTTCCTCCACTTGTGGAATAATCAGGCTCATTATTGAAACTTGCCATGGCAAAAATAACTTTTTTAAAAACTGGATGTAATGGTTCACCTTGGTCCAAAACTATCGTGTCGCCATAATGCTATAAATAACCAGAAAAAACACCTGACACAGAATATTAATTGGATATAAAAATTTAAAAAAACACTTATTTTATTCTTTACAGAAACCATATGTCTGTAAGGCGATTGGATGTACAAAGCGCTACACAGATCCGAGCTCATTACGGAAACATGTGAAAACAGTCCACGGAGCTGATTTCTACGCCAACAAGAAACACAAAGGAGATGGAAGCTGTCAAGTCAAGAAGGAAGATCCTGATGGGGTGTGTGGAACATTGATCATTAGTTTTTTTATATTTGTCTCTTCGTTTGGTAGCCAGAAAAACAAATCATTGTTAGTTGCTTGCAACTGAAAATATTCTATTGTTAATTCATAGTGAATTTCTTAGCAGTCAAAAGCAAATTGAGTGTAAGTCCACACACATTATTATTTAATGCCAAATTTCTCCATTTTTCTATTGACAAAAATAATCTACAGAATTCATATTTTATTCTCAAATGGTTCTAAGCAATTTTGTAAAATATACCAAAAAAAAAAAAAAAAAATAACTATTAAAATTACTAATCATTAATTTTCTGTTTTGCTTACATTTTTTGCTGAATCCCAGCTCACTTATCCCAATAACCCTTTCCCCACAACCCTATCACCACAACCCTGTCGCCACAACCCTGTCGCCACAACCCTGTCCCCACTACCCTGTCCCCACAACCCTGTCCCCACAACCCTATCCCCACAGCCCTGTCCCCACAACCCTGTCCCCACAACCCTGTCCCCACAACCCTGTCCCCACAACCCTGTCCCCACAACCCACCATTTTGTATAATATATTATTAATTTTTAATCGCCAGGACAATGATGCATGTGATACAAGCCGCAGAGGGGAGGAAAGCCAGGGTGTCTCTGGTTCGATTGGTCATGTTTCTGGTGAAGGTCGACAATCTCATGTAAGTTTTTTACTCTCTTAGGTTTGGTTGCAAGATGACTGATGGAAATGGCAGGTTCAATTGCAAGATGACTGAGGGAAATGGCTATCTCATAATATGACATTTTAAAAATTCCTCTTTAAATTAATCACCAAATGCATTGCACATAAATTAAAAAGTTCTCTCAAATGAGTGCAAGCTGGCGTAGGGATCTTGAGTGCAAGCTGGTGTAGGGATCTTGAGTGCAAGCTGGCGTAGGGATCTTAAATAATGATCAATAGCGGATACAAATTTTATTTTTAAAATCAACATGTTAGGTACCATAGTTCAAAACTTTAGTTGCAAGGTCATGAAGTGAATCATTTTGAAGTGAATCATTTAAAAAAAAGATTCAATAATTATAATATCCAGTGACTTCAGCTTTAAAGAAAACATATACAAAAGCAAATTGTAACTTGAATTTTACTAATTTTAGAAAACATTTCTATGAAATCAAAAACTAAAATCTTTAAATTATTAAGTTCAGATTTCTACAACTGATAATGCCCTAAGTAACCCTTTCACAACCTTATCCATATGTCAATACATTCTGCTCACAACATTGGGCTTTTATATATATATTCACGACTCTTTTTAAGAGTTTTTTAATTGATATTTTGTCTTGTTTTTTGTATAAAAAAATGACTTGGCAAACATCTTTTGTTGAGATGCTACCGGTAATGAAAAGCTATACAAATCATTTCTTTTATGGAAGCCATTGGGTGAACTCAATTATTAATTGGGCCACTTCTCACTGTTGTTTTTTGCTTTGATCAAAATTTTGTCAACTTTGAAAGTATAAACTCTGGGGGATTATTTCAAATGTAATGATTTACGTTTCTAGGATAACATTGGCTCTGCCCCGTCATCACACTCACAGCCTTCTCCGGACAGCAGCCCTGAAGTGAATGTAACCTGCGGCCTGGGGCCTGGTCATGACATAGATGACCGTGTCATCACTGGAGTGGGTATTAGCATTGAGGAAGAGGAAGTTGACATTCCTGAATCCAATGAAGCAGAGGTATAAAAGAGGATGTCATATAAATAACTTGTTTGATTAAGATTTTTCCTGGTTCTTGATTTTTTAAAACGTTAACAACCAGGAAACCTCAGAATGAAGAATTGCGGTCTTTGTGAATTGCCTCTTGTTTTTTTATCTTTTGACTCAAAAACTGCTTGAATATAATTGTATGATTGTATGAAAAACTTCATATTAAAGTTATTTATTTCTTGTAAAATACTTAACAGTATGAGATAATTCCTTTTCACTAAAACAATTTAAATAATGTCCCAATTTATGTTTGCATAGATTTACTTTTAAAGAAGATATTGCATCAAGACTATATTGAATGAATCAATAAAGGTGTATTTATGTTAGGATGGACATGGTAAAAATAAGAAACAGTACTAAATAAATCAATTAATAATTGTGTGTCCGAATCAGGTGCCAGGGTCCAGTGCCCTCTTGACCAGAAGAAACCAGATCAATGCAAGTCATGTCATGCAGAACCGTCTCAAGGGACGGATCAGCTCAAAGACTGGATGTATTTCACCCCTACCTCATATACCACGTAAGTGATCAGAAACTTGTCATTTGTACATTGTTACTCACCATTGCAAATTGAAAAAAAAAATGTCCCTTTTTGGTAATGGAATGGCATAGACATTGTTACGACATTGTTACTATTCACTTCGGTAAGAGTTTTTTTGTTTTTTTTTTGTATTTTTTATTTTCATTTTTTTTAAAATAAAAATCATATTTCAGCTGTTGGACCACATCTTAATGGAGGTGGCCATACACAGATTTCAATCACAGAAATTCCCAGGGGACCACAGCCCAAGGGCAGCCCCCAACACAAGAGGATAACTGATATTGTAGTGGGAGAACAACAGGGCACATCATGTAAGTTGTCAGAGTTTGAATTAAAGTTAAGCCAAGTGCTAGACCAGTTAGATTCAGACTTGTGCTGATTCAACCAGGCCCTTTATTTATATTAGTGGTAGACCAGTTGGGTTCTTTTACATATTCAAAGGATTATTTCTACATTACAAGTTGAGCTATCGGTGACTTGTACTAGATTAGTTCTACATTACAAGTTGAGCTATCGGTGACTTGTACTAGATTAGTTCTACATTACAAGTTGAACTATCGGTGACTTGTACGTTGAGCTATCTGTGACTTGTACGTTGAGCTATCTGTGACTTGTACGTTGAGCTATCTGTGACTTGTACGTTGAGCTATCTGTGACTTGTACGTTGAGCTATCTGTGACTTGTACGTTGAGCTATCTGTGACTTGTACGTTGAGCTATCTGTGACTTGTACGTTGAGCTATCTGTGACTTGTACGTTGAGCTATCTGTGACTTGTACGTTGAGCTATCTGTGACTTGTACGTTGAGCTATCTGTGACTTGTACGTTGAGCTATCTGTGACTTGTACGTTGAGCTATCTGTGACTTGTACGTTGAGCTATCTGTGACTTGTACGTTGAGCTATCTGTGACTTGTACGTTGAGCTATCGGTGACTTGTACTAGAATGTACAGACATAAATTCCTTGAATTGTTATAGATACTATTTAAAAATAAACGTAACATTGTTCATAAATTTTTATTGTTGTGTTAGGGCGTGACACAAACACATTGCTGCCCGGCAGTCGGAGAGAGAGCAACAGTAGTACGCTGAGCTCTTACATGAGCAGTATGAGATCCATGGGCAGCACATTTTCCTCCAGAAGGTGAGAGACACTCGGACATTCAGGAGTTACATCTTAATATGTCTTGAAGACATTCGTTTACATTTTAAGAACAGCATGGGATTAAGACATTTCCTCGTGTACCTTTAAATGTATGGCATTAGTAACATTTGAAGGAAGTGTTTTTGGTGGGTTGACACAGTTTTGATGTGTGTTGCAATCATATGTTATCAATATCTGAAACTTTTTTTTTATCAGACATGGGATGTTGTATATATTTGAATATATCACAGCATTAAACATGTTGGTTTCTACTTTTTAATTTCTGTCTTCACAATTTCTAATGCTCAATTCACACAATCAAATTTTTATCAAATGTGCGTAAAATTTCTTTTTGAATGCACTTATTTGTGTTACGACATAAGGACTTGAAAAAGAAATTTGAAGAACATTTGATGAAAATTTGATAATGTGAACTGAACATTAAACTTATATTTTTCGTGAAATTCCTTTCCTTAGTTTAATAAATTTTGTTTAAAATTTTTTTATATTTCATGTTCAATTCTCTTCAGTGGATTTTTCTAATTATTTTTCATCCTTTTGTAGATCCAGTGGTGCTTCTCAGTTTTCATCCAGGCGATCGAGCGGTATTTCGGCTCGGCTCAGTATTGCAAATTCTCCATACGAATACGATATAACAGGAAATCTTCCCAATTCTGTTTCTCGGAGATCGAGTGGGGAGAGCTCTACAAATATTGGCAATGTTTCGGCTCTCATGCAGAAGACAAACCTCGGCAGCCAGACAAATCTAGTGGTCCCACCTTTACCAGGTCCAGCCCCTAACACATGCAATGGTAGTTCTACAGGGAATGGTTCTGGATTCGGCAACACTCTTGGAAATAAATACTATAATGAGCGCCTTGCCAGGTAAGTTTCTAGTGCTCATTTAACACATGCAAAAAATAAAGAAATTTAGAAGAAATCCAAGTACGATAATAATTGTGTACAACATTTTTAATTTTTTTACCTTTCCTCACAAGAACAATTTAATAACTCTAATCCGTATCTGTGACAGAAAGTACAGAATCATAGTTGAAAGTTCTAAATTTAGTTGAATGATTAATATTGTTCACAGTTTTTATGATGTTTGTAATGTTATAATAACACTTACACTACATGATCAATGGCCTTGACAGTGTTTTTGTCCAACATTATATTGGTAGCATTATAATATAAAAGTGTTTTGCTCTTGCTGTTATTTGAGTATACGTTATTTCATTCAAAGTGAAATCTCTAAACAGTTTTTTTGTTGTAAAATAAATTGAAAAAAGATTTCTAAATAAGAGACATCTTTGTCTGACAGGTACTTCACGGCCAGGCAAGAAATCAACGGAGTCCGAACCAGCACTCCATGTCATACACCATTACCTCATGAAATCCCAGACAGAGAGATCCGACGGGCCAGTGATCCTGTCAGAACCCAGGACCAAAACTTTCACTCACTCAAGAGCCTGCAGAGATTCCACAGTCTGAATGCAATGAAGCCTCTGCCTACACCAGCCACCATGCGCAGCTTGCAGAACAAGTCCACCAATAACAACAGCAACAGCAACATGGGTGGCTCCAACAACACCTTCCACTCATCCCGTAGCAGTATCGCTACTGAAGGTGGGATGAACGAAGATGGCGTCAGGATAAAACTAACCGATGCTGAATTGGAGGATAAAATGCTGGAGGACAGTGAGGATATGATTATCCCAGATGACATGCAGCAGTTTTTGAACGAGCGCTGCAGGGGAGATAACTGTATGCAGGGAGATAATAATGCTGATCATAATGGGGCTCTTCAAGAAATTGATGAGCTGGAATTGAACTTTGATCCCTGTGACCTGGATGCTGATGATCCCGTCCTATTTTCAGTGCCGTGTCCACCAAGCACTGTAAGCAATTCAGCTTTTCCAGGTCAGAATCAGCGAAGTGGTCCACATTTGTTGGCTGGGAACTTACAGCTTCAGACAGGGTTTGCCGACCTTCATCAAGATGCCCTGGCTGCAGGATCCTCACCTGGAGGTAGTTTTGACCACTTCAACACAAGTCCTCCAGCACGGCCCAGCTATGCATCAAACCCAGCGCCCAGCAACACATGGGGAATGCAGCCTAGTGATGGCTGTTTGCCCGGCAACAACCAACAGACAATACAACGGAGCTCACCCAATTACCCGGTGACTTCTCAAGTGAATGGAAACTTACATCAACAGCAGCAACCTCATCAAAAACCTCCTCAACATCACCCACATCAACAACCAGGCATGATCTCAAGTGACCCCACGCCATGTCAGAATGTGGGTCTGAACACTATGAATGGCGGCTGCTGCAACACTGGCGGGTGTCCTCATGGGGTACTTGGTAAAAGCTGTGTTGGTCATGGTACTGTAGCAGGATGTAATATGGGGGCTCACAATAGCTCGTCCATTGCAGCTCATGGATCTGAGATGCCTATGGGTGGAAATAGACCAGTCGGCACCAGACCTTGGGATGTGAGTGGAGGAGGTGGTGTGTATCTGTCTCAGCACAACCTCATGCAGCATCAGCTACAACAGCAGCACCAGCTGCAACAGCAGCATCAACGGCAACACCAGGCAGCATTTGATCCCCTGGCATCCCTCGTCCCCCATCCCCCAACCCATTTGCCTCATCGACCTACACAAATGCCAGGCTTTCAGCACCACCAGAACCAGGGCATGATGCTGCCTCCACACCCTGTTGGTGGCTACAGCCCGCTACCCCCACCAGGGGAGAAACCTATGAACCACAGATCGAAAAGAGCTAGTCCTCAAGTACAAGTCCCGCACATAAGTCAGTCGCAAATTCCAGCCAATGCTAAAGCAGCCAATCGAGGCATGCCGGTGGCCAAGGCACCTCCCCAGCAGCCGATGGTACCCAACCGCAGTCCACTGGTGAACCCTTTCCCTCAGAATAATGCTCCACAAATACAAGCAAACTTTCCACCAAAAGTGTATTCAAACCAGAATGTGCATCCATATCCGCTTGGTCTACAGCACCAGCAGCATTGTACCTACCCTGCATCCCCATACCCACCCCACCCTCCTAATCATAACAACATGTCTGTCCCCGTGGTGCACCCCAACCACATGCATAATGGCCAATATCCAATGCCTTGTCCGAACCATGTCCACAATCACTTGTGCTCACCTCAGAATGGCGCTCCCTTGCATCCCAGCCAGATGCAGAATGTCCAGCACCCTGCGGGCCTCATGGCTAACGGATGCCCTGGTCAACCGCTCCCAGCCTACACAAGAAACAATCCTTACAACCCGATGGAGATGTCCCCCGGCTGCAATCAGGTCACCAGCTCGACAGACCGCAAAGAAACCAATCATCCCATAGAGGACTTTATGGATAACCTAACTTCAATATCCACAGAAAACCTCATGGACAATATCCACTCCATATCACAGGAGAACATTGCATACAGTCCTACACCTGTGTCCATGCGGTCCATGTCACAGAACTCTGGGCGTTACAACACGCTTATCAACACGTCCAACATGGTGGTGAATGATATGAGCTCTGTGTTGACGCAGCTGGCAGAGGAGAACAAATATCTCAACATGAGACCCTAATTTCTGCTGTTGTAACCACCGGCCAACCGCACACCAAGGATTATCAAAAATATTTTAATAATTGTCACTGTGTGAGTAAAAAAAATATGCTTAAAATATTCCATGTAATGTGGAAATTCAAAAATTCACCAACAGAGGATGTGTTAAAACTACACGTTCAGGATATTTGTTTTACTGCTGTAATGGATTTTGTGTTCATTTTTTTCTTATTGGGATTTATAAAAATGTTATTTTTTGCCCCGGATCAAGCTGAAAGTTGGTGCTATCTTCAGATGTGTTACACAATGTGCTTCTTAAAAGTGGATGTCCCTATGAACATATCAATTCATCTGTTATCAATTATCACACGCCAATATGTTGAATTAGTAAGTCAGTGCCTTTCTCCCTTTAGCACTTTTTGTCCAGTCTATTCAATACTGGAAGTTGTTGTTTTAAATTAACATGCAATTACAAATCACCTGAATTTTTTGTGTAAATGATGTGGATTGCAATAATTACTGTCTGTAGTAATGGATAAACCCTTATCAAATTGGCGTCCTCATGGGAAAGTTATTGATATTTTTATTGTTATTATTTTCTTGGCAGCAAGTAGTGTAAATGGAATGGTTTAACCAAAAAATTGTTTGAGTGTGTGGTGAAAGAAAACATACAGATTGTGGAACAAAAACACCAATTTTTTCCCATGAAATAGCTTTTAAATTGTTGGCTTCAATTATATGCCCCCAAACATGTGTTAGATCCCAATTTTTCCTGTTTTGTTTTAAATCTGTATCATTTACACAACTTCACTAATCATAAGTGACAAAGAATTTTTTTTTTAGATATATGTCCTAAGAAGCCAATAAAAATTAAAATGTGAAAGAAATTTGTTATTAAATTCAGAATTATGAGTGGAAGAACATGACATAGCAACGAGTGGAATGATTATAAGACCTCGGGGTTACTGGTCGGTAATTAAGCATAGTATCTATATGGCCTTTATTAAATGATTTAATATTAAACTAAAAGATCACTCTTGGAGTACCGGTATATAAAATTCTAGAATTTAATTGTGCAGACAAAATTTTGACATAATTCTTACATGGGCGCCCGCAGAAAACTTTCTGGGGGGGGGGGGGGGGGGAAAAATTTTTTTTTTTTTTTTTNTAATACATTTTTTTGTCTAAAAAAATTTTATCCAATCAATCCAGGGGAGGGGGGGGGGGGGGCATGTGCCCTTACCTGCGGGCGCCCATGAATTCTTAGGTGTTTTTTTTTTCTATTTTGAATTTGTGAATAATACAGTACAGTAAAAAAACAAAATAAGCATCAGGTTAATTAACAACACATTATAAAGCATTTATAGCTGAGACCCACCAACTAGCCATGGAAGACAGCATCCAGTGGGATTTAGTTAATAAAATTTATTTTTAAAAATCATTTGTAGATCTGTTTCTGTTTCACTACATGTTGGACTCACGTCTCTGAAGGCAGGAGTCCTTATGGACATGTCTGGCAGGTATTTATACTTTTTGGTACATTAGTCAAGACTGCAGGCTGGCTGAGTAATAAGACTGAGAGAGGTGTTTAATAATTTAAATTTTTAATTCATGATATGTAAAATGTTTACCTAATCGTGTTCAATAGTTTCTACCATTGTTCTATGAAGTGTAAAATATAATTTTCAGCATGTACAGTTTTTCTTTAGGCAACATCTTTTTGTTTTTAAAGCTTATTTTAGCAATGCCATAATTATTAGATCATGTTAAATTTGTTTAAAGTGAAATGAAGAAATATCATCAGCGCATTGGAATACAGTCAGGTTAGCATTGACATTGATGGTGGAAATATTGACACTCAGTTACCCCTGCCACATAGATTACTGCCCTTGTATTTTGCACAGCCCTAAGGGCTAAGATTGACACTTGCAACTTGACGTGATCAGTGATATTATTAAACAGAATACTTTGGTAGGCTATGCTGTTTAAAATATAATTCCAAAAATTGTTTGGAATGGGATTCGGCTCCAAGTAACATTCCCAGAAATAGGAAACAAATCGTCACCTAAGTGACAAACCACAAATTTTAAGCAACCTAAACAAAAAAAACATAAAAATTCCTAGATAAAAGATGTGACTATAGAAACATTACTCAATGGGTGGGAATTTCTAAAGTTAAATTTTGTAATCACTGTTTGGTTTTGTTTTGCCATTTGTGGACCTACTTAATGGAATTGTAGCAAGTGCATTACTCTTAACAGCCCCCCTATACCAGCACCCATATTATGGTGTCATTCTATCTTTTACTCTTGAATGTGTTACTCTAATTGGTTGAAATAAAGCCATATCATTAATGTTACCTTATCCTATGCCTATGCTATATTTGCATATCTTATTATCAATTTAATTTTCTGTTTTTAAGGTTTAAAAATGAACAAGAATCGTGACTTTTTATTTTCAAATAGTAGGTTTTGTTACTCCTCAAACCTTATAGTATCATCTTCAGATGGAACGGTATGATCTTTAATAGAAAAATCAATTATAATAAATTTAATTGCCTTCCCTGTTCTATCAATTTTACATATTATTTCATATCACTTATTTTTTGTTCATAAATTAAAAATTATATGAAATTGTTTTTGTTTTTTTACAGTATTTGTAACAAAAGATGGTATTGGTGACATCAAAATTTAATGAATATCCAGAGAACACAGATTACCTGAAGTATAATGTTCTATAGCAGATTTTATAATTAGTAATTAAATATAGGTTACAAAGATATAAAATAAATAAAGCTTAAAATATTTTTTTTTACTTAGATCAATTTTAACATTGTACATGTTATGCATCAACTTTATCAAAAACAACTAGAAATCCTCCAAAAGTATGAACCTTTCTAAGCCAGCAGTTGAAAATAAAAGATGGATAGACCATCTTTCTGTTCCTAGTTGTTTAGCTGGTCATTAACTTGAGACAATCTGTGTTCTCCATACCCTGTTACCGAGGCAATGAAACCTCTCCTAGGTGCCATTTTGTTGGTGATCAAAAATTATGATATCTTCTCTGTTTATGTGTTCTTTTGGTGATATAGGAGCCCAGAATTTCATCTTTCCTTTCCCCTATTTTGTGATGAAAAAAGGTTGATCAATTCAAATCTTTCTAAAAGAAAAACAATCTAAATTTTTCTTGTGTAAAAAAGTGATATCAGATCAAGTTCTTACTAAGGTATTAGTCTCTGAATGAGGGCCACTAATCATTTTATGATTTTTTTTCTTTAGTTGTAATGTTCTGAGCAGCATTTACATTGCAACAATTAGCAATACAAAATTGAACAGAATCAGAGCAGCCTTTACAGTGCATCAATTAGCAATACAAAATTGAACAGAATCGGAGCAGCTTTTACAGTGCAACAATTAGCATTACAAAATTGAAAAGAAAAATAATCATTGTTGTTCATTAGAGAGTTTACAAAAATATAAATTCTGCTTTTTTTAATTACTTTGTGATAATTAAGTAGTTTATTCTTTATATATAGAAAGTAACTATTTACACTGCTGTTAAATCTGTCTATGCCATTGAATCTATATTTTTTATATCTGCTAGAAGATTTGACTTGGCAATTAATGATGATGTAATTTCATCATTGGTTATCACAATATCTTAGAGTTTCAGATGCAAGAGGGTATAAGTAATTTTCATCTGATCATTTAAGGTAGATACTTTCTTTATCAATTGATTTTATCATTTCTTTGTTAAAAGATGGCTTTTTTTTTAACCACACAAAAAAAAAACGAAAGAAAGAAATATTGGAATTTTTAGACCAACTTAGTAAAAATAAAAATCCTGATTTATATAAATGAAATGCACAGTTGTAATAATTACACAGCTGAGGCTTTAGGCTCTGACAAAATGTCTGTACTCCTTCTCTAAGTATTAGCAAGTTTCACATGAAATTGTAACTTAAGAAATGGAATACAGAAATTTTATCATGCTGAAAGGTTTTATTGTAAATAGTTGATTTATTGTCTTAGTCAATGTTCAAACCCCTGAAAATATTTAATGATCCCTGTGTGGATACGTACCCATTGTTTTCAAACCTCTGATTTTTTCATATTAATTTAAAATAATATGGTTGATATGGCTACAAAATATTATCATCAAGCTTTCAAAATGTTGGATCTCTCCTTTAAGTTGTCATTATTCAAATATATAACCCATCCAAAAGTTTTGCTTTACCAATTTGGTTGAGAGCAAAACTGCACTACCTCA